CAGGTAGTGATTTTACAGCTGAACAATCAAGAGTGTTCTTGGAAAATTGCGTGCAAATTCGGTGATCCTATACCTCGTAACACGCAGGGGGAGTTCTACTAGACAACGTGCAGATATGATTACACAGAGAAACACGCAAGACTGATCTACTAATAATTAAGGGTAACAGGCGAGGATTTCCCTATAGTGAGTAACATGCAGTCATAATATTCTCGCGGGTTATCGACAATGTGTGTGTTTAGAGGGCAACGTTCGCCTTCGGGTCCCGTAGAAAAATATACAACCGTGTTTTTGGAGGAACGTTCTGTAGGGTTCTTATTGGACAACGTCCAAAATGGAGAGCTCTGTCGAAAATCAACTTCCAATTATTTGCACTGTGTGGTAGCAGGTGGCAAGTAACAACCTCGCCCTGCGAATGGAGAATCTGTAGAGGTCACTGTTTACGCGCAGTAGGCCTATACATGGTAAACTATTCGTGTGTTTCCGCTGGGCCTGGGCTTCTGAATGGCCTCCACGTAATGAACTCTGCAGACAGGCGATGCTTGCATGTACCGTCGACAACAACCAGATGACACCGAGAAAAAAACGCTTGTTTTTCCAGACTCTAATCATGTCACTTTGGCCAACGGAAGACCTAAAATTAGACCGATGGTTGGTGGTCTCGCCACAAAGCGTTAGTTGGTGTAGGTCGGAGGATTTTCTCGATCAAAGTATTGCGAAAATGTCACCGGTTGAATGTGTTTTACTTGCGGTCGGGCCTCACGCGAGAGTCGAGAAACATGAATGCATCATTTTTGATCATGGCCATTTCTACGTTGAACGTGAGATGATACTGGGCGAGTTTGAAAAATTTCTGCGTTTGTGACTTGTGTAGCGCATGGCAATACACGTACAGCACGTTTTTATCGGGACTTGAACGTGTTTTTACACGTTAACACCTTTATCGAAGATGAATGCTATTTATCGTTCAAACGAAGCACGAAAGCATAAATAATACATGGTGAAATCCATGTGTGTTGCGATTTACATTATTATCATCAGAAGTCGATAATAGGAAATTCTGTTATCATCTAACTGATTTTGCGGTGCACGAAAGAAAATGATGGTTGTGATAAGGTGATAATGAATCGCATCACGCATGTTATGCCTGCATGCCGCCTTCACTTCCCTGCTTCTTCCTGACGTTACAACGTCCGCCCGATTGATGATGTTACTTACCCCATAGAACTGGCAACTTGAAACGAAGATTAATGACAATTTCATGGTAATAGTTAATTAGTTCCGAAACAAGGAAATTATTCGATTGGCAGGACGTTCTTTATTACATCGTTAAATCCGAAAGTAACGAGTGTTTCGTTTCGTTCGTACGTAACGAGTGTTAGTGTGTGTGTGTGTGTGTGTGTGTGTGTGTGTGTGTGCGCGCGCGCGCGCGCGTGTGTGTGTGTGTGTGTGTGTGTGCGTGCGTGCGTGTCGGTGTGGGTGTGTGTGTGTGTGTGTGTGTGTGTGTGTGTGTGTGTGTGTGTGTGTGCGCGCGCGCGTGCGTGCGTGCGTGCGTGCGTGCGTGTGAGAAAGCGAGGGTGTGTGTATGTGTGGTGCGTGAGTGTTCACAGTGGAAAAGTCACATATTACATGTTTGTCTTATACTTCAAAGCAGAATGGTCACTCGTGTATATTTATTTAAAGGCGAGTGCTATATCTATCCGGGGCTAGCATAGAAAGGCAAGTTAAAAGCTTTTCAATGTATATATTTAGATGCAGATCAGCACTATACGTGCATGCCGTGGTAGCAATTCTCGTAACGGAGCACAAATAAATGTGAGTGCATCGCAGCATGGAAGTGGATGAAAGAACGTATATTATATGCAGGCGCATGTCCATGAAAGCATATCGCAGCATATTATATTGACACAACAGTGAGTCAATTAACTAACATGTGTTGGGACATGGGTTCATATCAGAGCATTACTTAACGTAGCAGCTCAGGGTGGAAACCCCCTAAGAGAACGTTTATTCAGCAAGTGTTTATCTTTACGGGCATACAATAGCATCAGTTACCACGGTGCAGAAATTCAGCTCTCGAACGTATGCGCGGGAGTCAATCCATGCAAGCGTACGAATCCCACTTCTGTCATTGAACGGAGCTCATCAGACGCGATTGTTGTTGACGGCTTGCACACGTACACTCACTCAGAGTAACGTCATTGTCCGTCGACAGGAACCTACGACTATTATATCCACGACACGCCATCTCGCACCAAATCTCGTCGCTAGATGAATCGTTACGAAGGTTTTTACGGGAGGTTTCCGCTTTCATGTCGTATTGACGCGATCAGCAAACGTTTCCATGTGATTGCGCCACGACAATGTAGTGCGTTCGATCGAAGCAGCTAACACTACGTTATTGTATAATGTACAAATTCGAAATGAAACTTGCACGAGCTACGCGTTAGTGGGCATTACTCCAGCTACAACGATTACAGTTCTTTAGTCCTACGGGTCGTTGGTCCTACGGGTCGTTGGTCCTACGGGTCGCTGGTCCTACGGGTCGTTGGTCCTACGGGTCGTTGGTCCTACGGTGCACGCAGGCAGACGTAATTTTTTTCTTTAATTGTTTGTTAATTTAATTTTTAATTTTTAATTAAATTTCTAAATTTTAGTTTAATTTTAATTTTAAATTTTTTTAAATAATTTTTTTAAATAATTTAATTTTGTTTTTAATTAAATTTTAATTTAACCAACGTGTCCTACGGTGCACGATACAAATAATACGCTGATGCACATTAAACTTATAATAAATGAATACTAACAATAAAAATATTTATACTGGTCAAAAATATACACAGTGTATTTACACAGCAGCTGGACTGCCTGTGTAGTGTACCACGGTACTTTTTAAACTGGTGTATAGTTCACTCACCACCGACCACCAAGCAGTCACCACTACCAAACCACCGCCGCCGCATCTCCACTCACCACCACCACCATTACTCACCACCACCACGACCACCCACCCACCACCACACTACACCACCGCCACCACCACCACCGACCACGGCGACCACACCACACTACCACCACACACCACCTACCACCATCAACACGCACCACCACCACCAGCAGCACCACCACGCGACCCACCGCACGCCTTACCACCACCACCATCAGCCAACCACCACCATCACCACCACCATCCCCACCCCATCCACCACGCACCGACACCACCCCACGCACCACCACCACCGCCAACACCACACCGACACCACGCTACCACCCCACCACCATCACCCAAATCACCACCCGCCACCAACCACTAACCACCGACCACTAACCCCACCAACTAGCACCACCAACCACCAGCAGCAGCAGCAGCAACAATATACAACATTAGTGTCAGCCTGCTCTGCGCGCACAGAACTGGCTTATATCCGCTCCCCGCTAGTTGCTCCTCGCTATAGTTCGGACCTTATTTGTAAAATATTGTAAGTGAACGAACTGAAACGAAAGAGCTCGCTACATTAGTGACACCGCTGCATACTCGCTAGTACTATGCATAAAAATGCTCGCTCGTATAACATAGTTCCTGCATCTTGGCTCTAGTGTGGTCGTGGCGGCGGTCGTGAGTCGGTTTCTCATATGAACACCATCGCCCACCCATGTTCCGACATACGATCGTAGGCCGCAGTACCATCTATAGGTCTCTACGGTCGTTGGTCCCTCACGGTCGTTGGTCCTACCGGGTCGTTGGTCTAAGCGGGTCGTTGTCCTACGTTTATTCAGTTAAAGGTAGAGTGAATGCCCTTTTTTAAATCACATTTTTTTATTTTTTATTTAAATTTTTTTTAATTTTAACTTTTTAATTGTATTGTGTTTCATTTTCCTTTCATAATTTAATTAAACATCTTTTTTTTTCAATTTTTATTATGTATGTGCTTTTAACTATGATTGAAGTTAATGCACCAGACAGGGAGTGGAGGAAGGAGGAAGAAATAATTCTTAAATATTTCAGTGTCATTCACCCTCGAGACCTTATCACAAAATTTCATTCCACAGCCACACAAAATTTTCCTTATGTTTTTGGGTCTAGTTTATTCACCTCAAAATAATTTCATTCACACCTT